CAAAGAAAGTACATTTTAACATTCTTAATTATTCTCTTGAAAAACATGAAATAGAGATTCAACTTTATAATAAATTTACTATAAATATAGATTGAACTTAATAATAAGCCAAAAAATTATCATGTAACATATATACTTAAGCACTGGTCATGTTTGTATTGTATGAGGAACAATTAACACAAAATTGTGTACTATTGTATATTATCCAGTTCTAGAAGGCATCTTGGGCAGAATTCTATATTCAAGCAGGATAACAATCCTAAGCCTCTGTTTAATGTACAAGAAAAAATCAAAAAAGTTCAAAATTTCCAATAATTTCATTACCTCTGTTTGAAATCCACCAATATACTGTGGGTTAATTAGAGCCTGCAGCTGCTTAGATGAAACCACAGAAAAACTCAAAGCTGGAAGTGTTGAAGAAAGGTGAAAAATATCACACTGTTATATGTCAAGAACTGGTCTCAAAATAGGAAAAATAACTATGAATTCTAAAGGAAACAAAAGGTACTGTATAAACATAAAATAATACAGTAAGGATACCCAAATAGCTTTTTGATGCAACTTGATTCAAAGTAAAATGTATGGTTTTTTCTATTAGAAAACGTAACTTCAATATTATAACTATAAATACTGCTATAGGGATTCATAAAACTTTATTTTTGCCTTTTTTTCTCAGTTTCTAACTGGGCACATCCTTCTGTAATTGTACAGTACATGTACAGTATTTGTTAAGTAGGCTTCAAGAGCAGGCAGAACGTTAAAAGAAAGCGCTCTGTATTCAGTCCCTGCCTCAGCTGACACTTCAAGGTCAGAAGACTCTTTCAAAGTCATTGCCAAGGCACCAGGGTGGCCTTATGAACAAAAGCAAGCGAAATCTTGCAAAATACCAGCCGAGGAGACAGTCAATGTCTCAAATGTCAATGAACACAGCAACAATTGTTTCCCCAAACAAATTATACACACTAATTGCTGTCAACCAAATAATGCCCATGTCTGCCTGTTCCTCGATGGAAACCCCCAGGGCAGGGCATTACCGAGCAAGATCCAGAAGGCTCATTCTTCAGATAAGTACCACGAATAAGGAACCATGCACACAATGGCAAAATATCTGAGCACAATGTTTTGCTGCTGCCCTTTGCCTTATGCAAGGTAGGAATGCACACACACTGCAAGATTACTGTATTCTCCTGCCAAAAGAAATTCCATTAGGGAGTACCCAGAAACGGGGTTACTGGCATACTTGTACTGGAATTGGTCAAGGGAAGCAGACATATTCAGTGGTGTCTGGCTAGTCTATGGCACAATAAGGATGGTTGGACTCACTTTCTGTCTTTGTGCTGTGTCACGACGAACTGGGTGAGTGGACCCTTCTCCCAGCCACTCCCTGTTCTTTTGAATTGGTCAACGAGGCTTAAAGGACAGAGCTATCCCAGAGAGGCAAGGAAAAACACTTACATGTACAGTGCCTTAGCACATGTATTGTAAAGACGGTACCACAGACAGAAAGGCCACACTGCAATGACTTCTCTATTTCTCTTACAGGAGACAAAAATGAAGTCACAGAAGTGAAGGAGGTTGCATGGTTCCTTCTGCATGCACATGTGGACAGAGAAATGTTAAGACCACATTCTGAAAATGCATGGATGCATGTAAGACAGGCAGAAAATAAAAACAAGTCAGACTATAATTTAGTTTTACAATACAGTATTCAAATCTGAGCTCTGGTATGTTTTACCTTTGTTCAGACCCTCCAGCTTTATTTATGTCATATTATTCATGTATTTGTCGGATTACTTACATTTGTATCCGTTTGTATGGCCTGACGTTTCACTGTGGCAGTCTGGGTGAAGTGCCTCGCGTGTGAGTGCACCAGCCCCAGGGCACCTGCACTGGCCTAGTGTTGAGAGGCGGATGTCACTGCTGTCTGGAGCACAGGTGAAGCTGTTCAGTGCTTGCATGGGACTGCACGAGCAGGGGGAAACACAGGTGACATCTGGTAGCACACAACAGTGGAGCTGCGAAGAAGAGACAGAGAGTGAACTAGAGCCTAACCAGCAGTGCTGTTGGAAAGGGAGGGTGTAACGATCGTCACCCCTCCTCTTAAGGGCGCTCCGACCCTTTTGTATTTTAATTGATTATGTGTGCCTGCCCTCTGTTTGTCCCTCATTATTTCAGCCTGGCACTCTCTCTATTCCTGGCTCAGCACTGGGAGATGGACGCCCGGAAGCCCGCCTACCAGCAGGTCCAGGAGAGACCCGACGGCACAGGCTTCATCACGGCGCCCTGACCATCTGAGTCTGGGGCTCGGAGCGCTTGGCCTCGTCATCCTGGTTTTATTTCCTGTTCCTGTACTGGATTTTAACCTTGTTTGTCTCGGATGGATGTCCCAGTTCCTGGGCCCTGGACTGCGCCCCGGATTCCCAATTGTACTGTTTGGACTTGTTTGCCTGCACCACGCTCACTGAGCACCGGATCACCGTCGTCACTCCCCCCTGTCTGTTCTCCTGTCCTGAACCTCACCGTGTTTTCCCTATCGTCCTTCTCCATTTACTTCCGGATTATACCGTCTGCATAGGGTCCTGAACTACGCTTTGCGGGAGCCTGGACCGGCTCCCATTACAGAGGGGTTCATTTACTAAACTGGCTCCCACCCCATAATCCAGGAGTCTGCAACTCAGTTCCTGCGGAGCCTAGAGTCTTCTGGTTCTGTTCCATTTTGACAGTTCCATTAAACTACTCTAATTAGTTTAATTTAAAATATTCTTAAGGCCTTCTACAGCTGATAACTCAAAACCTTCACTTCACTTCATTACAAGGTACAGTTACCTATACAACACCGTGGAGCCTGGCATGAAGTATTATAATTATGCAGTTAATGAAATATTTAGACCAGCTATGTAACTGAGAGGTCAGGTGGAAAAAAAGACAAAGGGCATTCCAGCGACTGAGTCTGAGATTCCTGCCGTACACTGAAACATGCTCTGAGCCCTTAAAATTACTCAGCTCCACCAGCCACCCCGACTCCCTGTCGAGCTCTGACGTTTCCCTCAGTGGGGGAGCTGTGTTATCTTCTCTGCTCAGCTGACTCCAGGCACAGATTCAGATCTGCGGCCTCACTGCGGAGGCTCATGGGAGTAGGAAAGCGTGTGAGGGGGGTGGGAGGGAGTGGCAGCAGGAGAATCAGTACAGCAAATCAACAGGGGTGAAACACGGAAAGATCACGTGAAAATCCACGTGCAACAATGATCTTCATTCTATAAAAGTGCATTATACGGGTGCATCCAAGGGCTTTAAATAAAAAATAGAGAGGAAACAATAGTAAAATAATTAGTAAAACCTTGATTACACAAATGTCTTTGCAGGCATAAAACATCCAATGAATCAGCTTTGTTAATACTATTCGGAGGTGCAGTAAAAGTCTGAGGTGAAGTGACGCAGAAGGTCCAGTCACTCCAGTCCAGTCTGAGGTGCAGAGACACAGAAGGTCCAGTCACTCCAGTCCAGTCCAGTCCAGGAGCAGAGACGAGAAGGTCCAGTCACTCCAGTCCAGTCCAGGAGCAGAGACGAGAAGGTCCAGTCACTCCAGTCCAGTCCAGAAGCAGAGACACAGAAGGTCCAGTCATTCGTGGCTTGCAGGCTTGTCCTGAAGACATACCAATGACCTCCATTGGAGGATCGAAGATTTCTGATGGTGATGCTGTATGACTGGACAAAGCATCCGTGATGTAGGGACGAGACAAGCAATTCAACGTCTTAAAAGTCGTCAGTAGAATGAATCAATTCGAGATGGAATTGAAAGTCATGGGGCACATTTAGGAACAGTAGTGATTTGAACATCAGGCTGGGACTTTATTAAGAATCTAACTGCCGAGTTTTGAACTTAATGCATTTACTTGTAGTGAGAAACCACAGCCAGCAGGTCTTTTGTAATGATTCTGAAGTAGACAGAATTGTGAACTGGTCTCTTTGCCTCAAGTATTGATAGAGCAGGATGTAGCTGGGCAGTATTCCTCAGATGTAAAGTTTGTTTGCTCATTCACCAATGTGGTTAATAATTGATTGTTTTTCCTCTGTTTTAAATAGGGTGATGAATGTTACATGAACTAATGCTGAAACACGAGCTGGCTGTTCAAACTCCTTCTCCTGCTGAAGCCTTACGGCATTGTTGAAAAATAACTGATACCAGTAAGGACTTACTGTAGCGTGTTACTTTAAATGTTAAAAAGATGAAAGGTTTTGTGGTTTCAGTAGGTCAGCGCAGTCCTGTAAGAATTTTAGAGGTTTTTAAAAGGGGGAAAAACCATGATGACTGGCATTACAAAAAATGAACACTGATGTTTTTAAATCACTGACCTATTTAATGACTTCGGGCAAAGTGGCAGTCAGATGAAGTCATCCAAAGGCATCCATGGACCCTCCTGAACCCTCAATGAGCTGTAAACCTAAGGACATTGAAGGTTCATGATAGTATTTAGGATTTTAGGGCCCATAATATGAAATCTACAGTAGATCACTGCCGCTTATACTCCCAAAATGTATTACATTAAAAAAAAAGAATGCAACAGCATTTGCTTTAAACTCAGAAATGAAACAAGAAGGGATGAAGTCTGATTTAATCTGATCTAGATTTTTTATCTTTCCAACTCGTGAGGTCCTCGCACAGCATCTGGGCATGCCGCAGAAGAGAGCACAGCCGCCTGACCCAGAGGGGCTGCCTATAAATAAGCCTGGAAAGAAATCAGGTCGACCCGCAGCGGTGCTGTAAGTCGATACGGCGTACGCGTCTACAGGATCCCGATGTCTTTGCCATGAAGAAGTGAAGAGCGCTTGGATTTTGAGCCCTGCCGGCCTGGAGGATGCCTCTTGTGAGACCTGCAGACCTGCAGACGAGCCTCACCTGTCACAGAGTGTCGTCACCCAAGGCCGACCGGTGTCCCCCCCCCCTTTACGCCCCCGTCGGCTGCGCGCACGCAACACTGTATCTCCGCATAGATTTGCATATGACAGGAGAGTGAGCGGCCGGCACCAATCAGCGCTCCGGGCCCCCCTGTAACTAGTCATATGCTCAGCCCGTGTTATCGCTGCTAGGCGTGCTCGACGGGTTGCGATATCAATACTGTAGATCCGAAAATCGTCAGAGGGCTGTCGTTCTGTGGATTTTCTTTATATATTTATTCATTTAAGCTGTTGGGTTTTTTTTCCCCCCTTCTCCTTCCCGTTCAGCCTCTTCTTTCTGCAGAGTATCTGGGGATTTGCGCACTGGGCACAATGGTGTGCGGCGGGTTCACCTGTTCGAAAAACTCCCTCTGCGCCCTCAACATTCTCTATGTTGTAAGTATGCTGCTGGGCACGGAGTTGCCATATGGTGTTATATGCCGGAGCCGGGCTGGCTGGGGCTGATTTCGATATTATACCCCTGCTGGGTCTCTGCGAGGTGTCGATGGTATTGTACAGTGTATGTCACAAAAAACACGACACAGCTGTCGGTATAAACGGGACGGGGTTGGTGTTAATTATTCGGTGAAACAGAAAGAATAATTATTCTCTCAGACACACACAAAAAAAAAACCTATAAATATGATCTATACTGTAGGTTTCTATACAAATTTTATTTTCGTAAGGGGTTCCAGCAACCTATTTTCAGCAAGGCTGGCGTCTGAGCATGTTAAATGGTTTCAGTACTCATAAGGCAGTAGTCAGAATATTGTATATTATATACAATATACTGTACCTGAAGAAGGCTCCACGGCCGAAACGTTGTGTTTTCTTCTCTTTTCAGCATGGAATAAACCTATTTCGTGTTCCTTTGCATCCTGTATATTGGTCTCGTTTTTGAAGAGCAAATGACTTTTGAAATGTTGATATTTAATTTTTAATATCCGGTATCCGGTATTGACATACTTTTTGTAATATATATATATATTTTTCTAACCTACAAATTGGCAGTCAGCAACGATATGTTATTTTCATATTCATTCTGTGAGACTTATTTTAATCAAAGTGACCTGACAGGTCGCAGCACCTTCCGCGCAGGTGACATTCCGACTTTTATCGCAGTATGATATCATTTATTGTATCGCACATCGCACACCTGTGCAAAGTACTGTTCCATCACGGAGTGCAGCATTGCTGTACTAACTGTCACTAATTAACAGGCGAGGGTACTGTAATGTGATTAGTCTCGGTGTGAAAGTAGTTTTTGAACCAATGTCCGAAATCACTAAACATTGAACACTTTATTCGCCTGGGGTGCTGTAATCTGTTATTTAAAGTGAAGCGAATTCTTACAAATCCTTAAATACTCCAGATTTTCCAAATAATGTTTTCTGACAAATGCTACAAACTCATGAAAAAAACAAAGTTGTACGGTATGTGAATGTAAAGGTTCAACGTGTGAAAATGAAATATGTGGACCGCTCTTCTAATTGGAAAAGACGTCAAATAGGACGCGCAGGCTTCTAGATCCTGTGCAGGGGGGATCCTTATTTTAGTTGTGTGTTTGTCCGGGTGAGGATATATAATTTAGCATCTACATTCGGTTTGTGACATTGTGATCGTGATGCGGTGATGTTTTGTATGTGAGTATGGATCTAGACGCACAGCTAAAGCAATTAAATCACACAACGATGTGGTTTTAGAAACTGGTCCACAGCTCCCGTCATCCAAAAACTTTCCACCCTCTGAAGAGTGTGAAATCAGCAGGGTCACACATCAGATCTGCTCTGACAGTATTTCTTGTGGACCTACACTTTATTTTATGCCTAATAGTAGCTTTAACTATAATGATTCTAGGGTTTACTTTATTGTGATGTTTAATTTAAGGTTCCCTCTACAGAGAGATTTCTTAAAGAGGGGTATGAAAACCAGAATAGGTTTAAATCCTCTGGTTCACTGTGATTCCTCTTTTCTTGGTTCTAGGAAGTTAAACTTTCAGTTGAACTCATGACTTGTGGGTGTTGTCAGTGTGATCTGTTGTCTTGACACTGGGGCTTATTAGCTGAATTCTCAAAGACTGTGCTTAGGGCAGTTGTGTCCGTTCAGATATTCCTGACTGATAGGAAGATATGAAGACTCAAGTCCTGGCTGCTGCCTTGTAGTGCTCGCCTGCAACAGAACAGTGTACCTTGACAATTTCTCACTTTATCCCTTGTATTAGGGAAGCAGATTACATGTGTAATTGTCCAAACAAATTAAGAAATAAGTCAAACAAAGTGCACAAGTAAATGTGATGCCTGAAAGCACATCTGAGCAGGATCTCTGATTTTAAGTGGCTGAACTAGGGCACATATCTGTTAGAGTTTGGTAATGGTATCCAAAGTAATGGCTGCAGATTCATATAAATTGCAACTTCCAGTCATATCGAAGGAATAATTAATGAATACCTGGGTATTTCCTCTTGGATCCAACAAGGTTCTGGTAACGAGTGTTGCTGGTCTCATTTCAGTGCTGAGAGAAGTGCATCTTATTTTAAAATCTGACTGTTTACCCATGAATCATAGATTTGATTTGGGTTTTTTTTCCCCGGTGTTTTACATAGTTTAATTAGCTCCATGCAGGACCGGTAGAGGGAGACGCTCCCGTGTCTCGTGATGTCACACACAAGTGAATGCCTGCAGTTACTTTGCATGGCCTTTTATATCTTTCTCATTTCACCTCTAGCGGCCATGATCACACTGATCTCTCCGTCTGCGTTCTCCTATTGCAGTTGAAAAACCCTTCTTAAAACTCCAACATCAGAAAGATTATCGTGAAACATGGCTCACACCTTCCCCCGTCTCTCGATGTCAGACTCGCTTCCTAATCCTCTCTATTCATTTGCAGGTTTCGACTTCACACATCTCTTCACCTCTCTCCACTTCGCACCACCTGAGTAGTTACTCTGCCTCCTCCCTACTCCTGCCTCCCCCACACCCACGGCTTCTGTTCTCCTGTGGTGCAGTATATAATCTGTGCTGACTTCCCTGTCTTTCTCACACCCGAAAAACGCTGTGTTTCCTTTCTTCTCTTTTCAGCAATGGAAGAAACCTTTACTTGTTCCTTTGCAGCCTGCGCATGCTGACGCAGCTCCCCACCTGAACTACTTTTATATCTTAGTTCATTCTGTCAGGCTCCTGGGGCCATATCTCTTAGATAACAGAAACACCTTTAAAATAAGTAAATGAGAAATCTTACTGTACGCTGACCTTATACGTTATTCCTGTGCATTTGCAATATTTTCCCCCATCAACTTTAAAATGCTTAGTCTCTCCGCATGTTCTGGTGGTGTAGCTGTCAGATTGGTAACTGCCAGAATTGTCAGCTCTTCTTTTGCGGGTGTTGAGCTGCGTCAGTATTTACGGTACTGAAAACCTTGTTTGAAATCCTTTTCTTCTGCTTCAGTGTGTCAAGCCACAGTTCTCGAGTGAGATCTTAAAAATATATTACGTGGAAATCGGCAGTAATGGAACGTTTTTAGGCCGCGTGTTTCACACAGTGAAGGCAGTGTGCTCATGTGCTGTACTCTCTGTCCTCCTTTCCTTGCAGATGGTGAGCTTGCTGATGATTGGGGTCGCAGCCTGGGGGAAATGGTTCGGCCTGGTTTCCAGTTTCCAGGTGGTCGGAGGGGTGATAGGAGTCGGGATCTTCCTCTTTTTCGTGGCTCTGGTGGGGTTGATCGGTGCCATGAAGCATCATCAGGTCCTGCTGTTTTTCGTATCCTTTAATGTGAAGAGAGCACAGCTGGAATAATAGGAGTGGCAGTATCTCAGGTTCGGTTAAACAGAGGTAGTGCTTCAGGAAAGCCTGTGATATTACTGTACCGTAGGCGGAAGAGTGGAATATGTCGTTTAGGACCACTTTATGATAGTCTTCATGTCATCTTCATGCAGGGGAATACAAGGTGGTGAGTATGTAGGAGGAGGAGGGCCAGTTCACTCAGCTATCTGCTGGGTGACACTGCACAGAAGATCAGGGAAGAAGTGAGAGGCCGCTTCACGAGTTGAATTAGTGAGAAATGTGGGGAGTCCAGATTGTACGTTTGGAGTTTAGCCAGGACAACGGGGTTAGCACCTCTATGTCTCACCTGAAAGATTGCGCAACAAATTGTGGGGGTTAGAAAGGTATGTGTTTGGAAACCAAGGGAACTATCTGAATAAATCCAAAGTTTCTGATGCAGATTGACCACACATTTCCACTAAGGGGCTGTCTAAAGAGCAGGATAAGAGTAGCAGAAAACAGTGTTCTATGTTCTCCTGGGGGAATTCCTATTCTTGAGTCCCAAAAAATGAAGCAACAGAACTGTCACGGAC